CCTGTGGCCCTCTTTCTACCAAGGCCACCCAGCTCCAGCTTGGCAACGTGAGTCAGAATCGCGAATGAGCAAGCATTATATGATGCGTGTATGCTCAACCGTTTTGCCCCTCTCTTCAACTTGTGGGCAGGGCAACGCTGGCGGTTACATTACGCCCTTCACCGTTGGACAGCAAGCTTCTGCTGGAGGTCAAGTGCAGCTTGTGGAGCTGAAGGGCGCTGCGCAGACGCTAGAGGTGTTTCACCAACAGTGCAACAGCACATACCTCGGCTTTACCTTCCACGAGCAGTACTACCCTGGAGACTCTCCCATCAAGCTCAAGCTCGCTTCTGACACCACCAAGTGTGTGCAAAGACACGCCGCTCTTCACTCCAACAACCCTTCAGGTCGCACGCATTTGACCATCGAGCCATGCAGCGACATCGACAACGCCGATCAGGCCAGGCAGTTCTTCAACTTCTACAACGTGAGACTCATCAGCTCCGCATGAGCTTCCGAAAGCGTTTGTATCAGATTCTGACGTTGTTCTCCCCTTTCTCCTCTTCAGCCCTACGGTGAGATCACCTCGATCTACAAACGCAATGGAAAGATTGGCAACTACGGCTACGCCACGAGCAAAGGCAGTCCCAACGCCATTCTCGTCGGCGACGAGAAGAATGTGCAGCCAGCAGGAACTCATGGCTACCCTCCAGTCCTGTTCCTCAAGTCGTAGGGACGCAAGTCCGTCTTCGATCTTGCCATCAGCCATCCTTGCCCCGCACATGACCAGCACCATCGTTCCCCTCTTTCGAGTGAACGGAGCAACACGCAGACATTCTTTGTACTAGCAACCTTGAACGCGTGAACAATCCATCGAGAATGTGATTTCCCCTGCAGCCGCTGCAGCTCGAACGAATATGACTCTTGGGCAGCACAGCGCTCCGCTTTCCCCTTGCCCCGCCGCTGCTGCTGTTGATACGTCATTCAGCAGCGCGAGCGCATAGCCCGTGCATGGGGAGATCAATCGACAGGCTGCGAATCCCGACGCCCACACCCGCGCCCGCACATCACATCGCGTCTATTCTTATCCATTGCCGAAGTACGAGGAGGTGAGCGATTTGCGAATCCCCCATCATCGTGCCTTGCCTTTTCTTGCCAGCTCGATGCTTCGATTCGCTTTTCGATACGACTAGCTTGAAGCGCACAGAGACATCCTACTACTTTTTTTTTTGCTTGCCTCGACAGCGTGCTCACGCTCGCTGGCGACCATCAAGGTGCGGTGCGCGCCGTCTTGCCGCACGCGACCGCGTCACCATCAAACAAGGGGTTGCGCACACGATCTATCGACTCGACGCGTGCTGACTCGCCGAGCGCATGTATTTGGACCGCAAGCTGACTTGGTCATGGGCCCCCACGTCATCGATGCGCTGCGGCCTGCCTCTTCATCGTCTAGGTACACCTCCTCTTCCTCTTCCTCTCATCGCTCTCTGCGCCGCACCTGGTGGAAGTGGCTTCGTGTTTGGGTTGGGCTGCGCAGATGAAGGCCTTGCACATGTCAGCACACGAACGTTTCGCCCTTTGCGCGCAAGCGCGCCGCCCACGGACTCACCCTCTCGCTCTGCTCGTTTCGAATCGTCTGCGGTGGGATGCATTGTCAGCTTTGCGCTGGGCACCGCATGCAGGCCTGCACCTTGCACGCACCTCATCGACCGAAAGAATCAAACAAGCCGCCTCTGCCGCGCTCGACAGCGCATTGATCTTGACCAGCGCCGGCTCCCATACATGTCTCTCCAAATTATCCGCCACATTTTCGCTCTCAATGTCGATCCCTTCCCACGTGTGTCCCTGCGCGTGCCTCATGCGCAGCTTGTTCAGCAGATCCGTCGCGTCGAAACCGGCATTGTCGCACAATTGACGAGGAACGCATTCCAGCGACTTGGCAAAGGCCGAAATGATCAGTTGCTGCTTGCCCTCGACTGTCCGCGCGTGTTCGCGCAGAAAGCGAGAGATTTCCATCTGCGGCGAAACGTGGGTGCGGTGTGAGCAGAACGGAGAGCATCCCCAAAACCATTGCGGCGCGCTCTCGCCACGCTCACCTCGGTAGCACCACCTCCAGCCACGATGCTATTGTTTTTGATGGCTCGCTTGACGATCATGATGGAATCGTGCAAGCTGCGTTCGACTTCTGCGATGAACTGCTCGGCACCACCGCGCAGAATGAGGGTGCAAGTCTTTGCTTGCGGGCAACCTTGAAACAGATTAAATCGCTCTCCGCCAATCTGCTTCTCTTCGAAAGTGTCGCACGTTCCCAAGTGTTCGTCGTGGATATCGCTGCACGTCGACTGCACCGCTCCGCCAACCGCTTGAACGACGCGCTTCAAATCGTCTGCGGCTACGCGACCAGCGCAAAAAATGTCGCGATCGGCAAAGTACTGCGTCGCGAGATCGCCGATGGGCAGCTTGGAGAGGACGACTTTTGCTCCAGTCTTGACGATGGCTTCCAGCTTGCTGTAGATGATTTGCCACTCTGCATCCACGATGGCTTGATATTCGGACACTTGATCGATGCGCACCTCGGCATTGTCCTTCTCCGCCTTCAACTCCAACTCGACGTTGAGAGAGAGAATCTTGGGCGATGCAAAGGATTTGGGTTGCTGCTCAAAGCCCGCGTACGCAAACGTCTTTTTGAAGGCCACACCTTGCACCAACAGAGAGTCCTGGACACGAGTGAAGGCAGGGTCAGTCGTGCGCCAGGGCATCCTCACACACACCCGCGCGACGCACCTGCATGGCGCCGCCTGGAACCTTTTTGACGCCGATCAAGCTCTCGTCGAGATCTTGCTGGTCCAAGAAAGAGACGGCATCGACGACCATGTTTGTGAAAAAGTCTCGCTGAGAAGAGATGAGTTTGGAGTTCATGCTTGTAGCCGCGCACTTTCTCAGCAGATCCTTGAAGGCCACGGCATCCGACTTGTCGATCGTGATGCTCAGCTGCTTGATGCGATCGATGGCCAATCGCGCTGCTTTGCGGTATCCCTTGACGATCACATGAGGACTGACGCCTTCCTCGACAAAGGGACGCGCTTCCTTGAGCATCTCTCCTGCCAGCAGCACCACGCTGGTCGTGCCATCGCCCACCTCTGCATCCTGCGCTCTAGCGATATCCACCAACGTCTTGGCTGCGGGGTGAACCACATCCAGCAGCTTCAAGATGGTCGCCCCATCGTTGGAGATGGTCGCCTCGCCTCGCTCATTCACCATCAGCTTGTCCATGCCGCGCGGTCCGAGCGTGGATGCTACGCAGGACACGATGGAGAGGCAGGCGCCAATGTTGGACAGCAGCTGACCTCTGCCTTGCGAAGTGTCGGTGCCTTCACGCAGCACGATCACTTGCGGCTGCATCATCCCCAGTCGGCCTGCCATTGTGAGCGTGTGTGTGGGGGCGGGTATGCGCGGAAGGGTGTGATTGTTGGTGATGCTCTCCGTGCGATTTGCGAGCGTGTATGCGCGTGTGAGAGCGACTTGGTGGTGGTCATGAGCGCTCAATGTCAAGCAAGAGTCACAGTCGCGAGTCGATCCTTTGAAATTTCATCGGTGCACGGCGCGCGCTTAAGCAGCACAGAAGAAATCAAAGAAGCGCATCGACCGCGCGCGCGCGTGTGTTGGAAGGCGCGCTCTGCGTGCTGATATGCGTCCCACTCGTCCGAGAGACGAGAATTCGAATCACGTGAAACGATGCTATGCCCCGCCCCGCGTTTGTTGCAGCCTCCACGCGCAGAGCCCAGGGTCGCGTCAGCAAATAGCGCAGCACACGCGCACCCACACACCCACGCATGCGCATCACATGGGCTGCACACCACACCACTCACTCCAACATCCCCACAAAATCCCCACATCACCCCTCGCCCTCATCACATCAACCGCAATGGTGGACAAGGGGACCAGCAAGGCGGGCGTGGATGCCGCTGCAGCAGACAAGTGAGTCGCGAGTGCATACACGCTCTCGCCCCCTTTTCTTCGCTCACCTCGTTGCCCACGCTTTTCGCCCAGCAGCAGCTCCCACGCATCGTGGAACAAGGCTTTGGAGTCTGCGCTCAACACGCTGCGCATCCTCGCCACTCCTGCTCAATCCGACAGCAAAGCTTGGAGAGCTGTGCAGCAACCCGCGGCGCATGCGGGGGGTCAGCAGCAGCATGGGCACGCGCACAGTGCGAGTGCGAGCGCTGCGTCGGCCCAGCAAGCCCAAGCCCAAGCGGGTCCAGGTCCAGAGACTATGGCGTTGGCGCAAGCAAAGGCAAAGGCGAAACAGGAGCAACAACAACAGCAGAGCAGCAACGTGCGCATTCACAAGCGGTC